AAGACGAGCGTTTCGTACGAGACTTCCTCCTAAAGTCACGCGTCAAGTCTCCAAAACGGAGCGTTTCGTACGAGACCTCCTCCAAAAGTCACACGTCAAGTCTCCAAAACGAGCGTTTCGTACGAGACTTCCTCCAAAAGTCACGTGTCAACTCTCCAAAACGAGCGTTTCGTACGAGACTTCCTCAAAAACTTTAGTGTCAAAGTCTCCAAAACGAGCGTTTCGTACGAGACTTCCTCCAAAAGTCAAGCGGAAACACCCATCGGAGCACACACATCACGCAGCCCTGCCAAGCAGTTTCGCGATTCCAGCCCCTCCAAACAACACCCGCTCACACGCCAATCCCAATGAGACAACGACAGTCACCTCTGCCACAACTCACAACCTCACGATTCCCTGCGCCTGCCACGCATCTTTCCGCATCCACACGTCTAACGCGCACAAAGTACTGCGCCTGCCACGCAATGTCACCTCCGTCACACCTCGCAACCTCACGATTCCCTGCGCCTGCCACGAAAATCACACTTCCATGCCTCAAAATCAGCACAAAGTACTGTGCCTGCCACGAAAAGTGAGAATATCATCTCACATGAGCTTCAACAAAATTTGCACCACACCACACGTTTAGAATGATTTCGACCCGTTCTGAGCACACTCCCATCCACCAAAATCGCCATTTCAGCTGAGACTTGTCACGAAAACAGAGCTTCGATGCCACACCCTGAAATGCAAATCCCAATGGCACGGCCACATCCAACACCCCAAAAACACGACTCTCCAAACGCTAATCCCAATGGAACTGCGCAGTACACTGCGGATCTCTCAAACCACTGCGCCTGTGCAGCGAAATGCATCACGCTTCTTGCGCGACATGTCATTTTCATGCAAAATCACAATGGAATAGCGTCGCAAACTGACACGTGACACATCCATGAAAAGTCACTTGCAAAAGCTTCCCCCAATGGCAGCGCCTTAGCGTCCTACTGCGAACGGTTGCGAACGGTTGCGAACGGTTGCGGACGGTTGCGGACGGTTGCGGACGGTTGCGGACGGTTGCGAACATAGAAACAACGGATCGCGAACAAGACTCTACCCCCAGACCCCCAGAGTTAAACGAGAACCCTTCGCTACGCATTCGGGAAAATCTTACGATATCTTACGTATATAAGTCTAAGTGCGTATATCTAGTCCTGTTGATGCTTATTCAGTCTGAATAACATCTTACTGACCAACTGCTTGGAAAGTGAAGAACAACATGCTGTAAAAGTGTGTCCGGCCAAAACTCAATAAACACTCCACCTTCAAGGTAAGCCCGCAAATCTCACGCCTCCAACTCTCTGATTCTTCAGCATGCTGATTTTGCAGATCACTTCGGCAAACCAAACGTGGTCTGTATGTCACCTTTAAGCATCTTCCACGAAGGTTGATCTCGGTGAGCTCAACCGTAACTGCCACGTATACCGTACTGGTCCGGACTCCAGGATCTGACTGGTTCGGTTCGGCTGCTCACAGGATCTGATGGCCAAACGCCGCTTTCAAAAACACACCCAAGAAGGTGTTTGGGGTCGGTTTCTAAGAAGGTGGGACTGGGGTCGGTTTGGAGGGTCCAGTCATACTTAGATGGGCTGGGGTGTTGTTAACTAGTTAACAAAATTAACATACTTATTAACTTGGTACTATCTCAATGCTAACAAACTACTAACAGTATACTAACTCCTTACAACTAGTTATGAAAATTAAAAAAATATTAACTCTTAACTAAGAGTTAGTTAACTTTGATAACTTTTTTACAAGAGCTAGCAAAGTTACTAACAGTTAGCTAACTTTTACACATTTTTGCACATATATGTTTA